CTGGCGAGCGCACGTGCCCTATAGTAAAAACCTCTCCAAAAAAAGAGAGAGAGAGAGAGAGAGAGAGAGAGAGCAAGCCACAGGTCCGGGACGTGAACTGCAGTCAGCCCTGTGGGAATTCCAGCGCCTTAACCACCATGCCACCTGCTGGCTCATCTTTGGAAAATATAATCTGCCACAGCAAGTCACTTTTGAGTTGGCTCCTGAGTCCTTCTGAAATGACCCTATTAGTCTTTGATACCTTCTTCGTTATTTTGTCTTTTTAAAAAATATATTTATTTAATTCCATTTGTTATTATTATTTTTCAATTTGACTGAGACAGAGAGAGAGAGAAAGGGAAAGTGAGAAAGCAAGCCACCAGATCCAGGACTTGAACTGCAGTCGGCCATGTGGGACTCCAGCACCTTTAACCACCATGCCACCTGCTAGCCCCATTTTTTTTTTTAAGGTTATTTATTTATTTCATGAGAGAGAGACAGAGCAATAGGCACCACCAATAGGGTATTCATACCATCATCCACCCCCGTCTTAGCCTGAACTATGGGCATGAGCACATGTACCCAGCATGCCAAACGACATACTGGGATCATACCCAGGACCTTTACCATGTGGCTCTAGTTATGTTACCACTGTACCACCACCTGGCTCATTCTTTCCTTTTTAAATTAAATTTTATTTATTATTATTTTTGTTTGTTTGCCACAGGGCACATGTGCTCACTAGAGAGAGAGATGGGGGCGGAGGGTGAGGGAGCAAGCCACCAGGTCCAGGACTCAAACTGGAGTTGACCATGTGGGAGTCCAGTGCCTTCACCACCACACCACCTGCTGGCCCCATACTTTAAATGACAAGATATCCTAAGTTCAACTTATTTTCTGTCTTAGACCTTGAAGTAGCTATTTACCCAAGAATTCCTGGTTCCTTTTGGTGAAGGCTCCATCATCATAAATGTTTGTTGTCCATTGGATATTGCTGGTTTCATGGGGCTGCTTAATGTTACTCTTGCTTTATATTTAAGAGTAGAAGGGCCAGCTCCATGGACAGCAGTAATGCACTGTTGAAGGGAAACTGGATCCCACATGGCAACCATAGTTCGAATCGTCAGTCTGGTCAGCCTGAAACACACCAGGCACATGCATGAGTGCCCACAATGCAATGGGCTAGAGGACTGGAATTGTGGCAGGACCAGACCCTGTGGAAGGTGCTTATCTCTCTCTATCTCACGTGACTGCACACACACTCTATTACAAATACAGGAGAAAAAAAAGTGAGTGAGTAGGAGAGCCAGCACTGTCAAGGCCAAAGAATTGGCATTAATACCTTAAAGAAAACGAAGAAGAAAAGAAGACGCCATCGTGCCATTCAGCTAGCCAGCTGAGTACATTGTTGTTTTCTCACACAGGTGGCCTTCAGATAAAATGGTAACTCTCTCCTCCCTGTCCAGTCTTTAGCTAAGGACCTGTCGGAAGCCGAAGAGCAGTACGCCCACGCCCTGCGCAGCCACTTGCACAATGTTGACCAGCTCCTGGCCCTCCAGAGGCGCAGGCTCAGCCTTCTGGAGGAGAGTTACAACGTGGAGCTGGAGGCGCTAACCAAGGAGTTTGAGACAGAAAGGTATGAAGGCCTAAGAGGATATGGTAGACTGAATTCGAGGGAGTACCTAGAGTTTGTGCCTGCAAGCCGATGGCTAATACCTTGGAGTGTTTCACCTTGATTACAACATAACTCCCAGCAAAGAAGATGCTGAGTTCCATCTAAATGAATTTGGGTTAAAGTTTACAGCCTTAGCTTCCCTTTCCCCATGCTAGGCCGCCCTTTATATGCCCTCACCACCCACTTTCAAGTATCAAAATGCTACCCATCTGGCAGGAGCAGGAATTTTCAGGAATGGGAGGGAGACTTCTTGCTATGACCTTTTGTACTTTTTTATTTTGTTTCATATGGATGTGTTATCTATTCAAAAATCAAAATAACATTCATTCTTTCTGGCCCTAAAAAGAATGGAGCTCTCCCTCCCTCTGTTCTCCATCAATATCTAAGAGTATATAGCAGCCATAGTTTTAGCACACAATGCTTTGAGTTGTCATTACTGGTCTATGTACTTTATCCTTCAGAGCAGGGACAGTGTCTTGTCTCCTACAGGAAAACAATTATTGACCAACATGAGAAAGAGATGCACTACCTACAAGATGTCTTCATGGCCATGGAGCAGAGCTACATAGACTCCGAGTATGAAAGCAAGCTGGAGTTCCAGAGCATGTGGGATGATCTCAAAAACAAGGTACAGAGTGACAGCAGACGGGCAAGAACTGGGAGGGAAATTAGAGAAAAATGTTCAAGGTTACTGGTGCTAGAAGAGATCCCTGAAACCAATATAGTCAATAAAAACTGTTGCCCCTTACTGCTTTTGTGTAATTTTGTGAAAAACTTTCAGGAGGGAAGACAATTTAAATATATCAGAGCCTAAAAGCACCAAGGAGATCATCTGACTTTACTCCTGTGATTTGCAGATGCAGAAACTATACAAAACCCAAAGAATAAAATGACCTGCCGAAATCAAGCTGCAGGTCTGTGGTAGAGCTAGAGGAGCATCCCACCCCTTGGCCCGAAGTGCTTTCTACCATCCTGAAGGTTACAAACAGCCAGCTTGCAGACCTAGGTTCGGGTATAGGTTTTCAAAATTTTACCCTACAGTATTTTATACATTCTTTGAATAAGTTTTCAACATTTAAAAGTTGGAGAGATTTTACATAAAAATTCAAACTTCCAGCTTCTTTTCAAAAGTTAAAAAATGTGGCAATACTGGGCTGTGTTTTCAAAGGGCAACATTCACATAGAGCTGAGCGTCCCCCCACCCCCGCCCCCATGTAGTGAGCATTTCCTCTGCAGTTTGCCAGTGGGCCCACCCAGCCCACAACAGATTCTCATCTGCCTGGACTTTGTAGGCATTTTCATTGGTGACCTCTGTACCAAACTATGCTACAAACAGTTCAAGAGGGTGAGGTTGCTGGTAGAAGCGAAAGGACATTAAGAAGGCTAATTCTAAGCATTGGCTATTTTGGGGCCACTTCCTAGAATTTAGAAGAGAAGCATTTTTTAAGACTGCAACTGGAGAACATAGTGGAAGATCTGTGGAGAAGATTCCAGGATGCACTCAAGAATTACACTGATGCCACAGAGGACCGAAAGATTGCCTTTGAGACCCTAAAGGTCAAGGATGAGAAGAGCTCAAAAGAGATCGAGGCACAGATGAAAAAAATACAGAAACTACAGGTTAGTGCAGCCAACCAGAAATACTCACTACTTTAACTGTTCTGTTAGCCTACTCACTTTCCCCCAGTTTCCACTGGGTCTCATCACTGATCACTTGTTTTTTTGTTTTGTTTTGTTTTGTTTTTGGTGCTGTAGGGCGTGTGTGCTTACCAGAGAGAGACAGAAAGGGAAAGTGAGAGAAAGACAGAAAGTAAAAGTGAGAAATCACCCGGAACAGGGAATGGCCATGCTGCAATGTCTTCTACATTCTCCTCTCAGGATTTTGGGTGCACACACATATGCGCCCAGCATGATTTTCAAGCCACCAGATTTGGGACTCAAACCACACAGTGGGTCATATGGGATCCAGCTGCCTTAACCTCCATGCCCCGATGGCCCATCATGGGCTACTTTTAGGAAAAGATATGCCCTGACTTCAGTCCTGAGGCAGCCCTTCTAACCTGTCCCACTGAAGACCCTCACTGATCAAGTGTTTCCTCTAATCTACTGTATTTCTTCAGGACGCCATAAGTATTTCAAAAGGCAAGATCATGATACACAGTCGTGAGAGTGAAGATCAGAACCAGTATATCCGTAACGACAAGGAGTTGGTCCTTGTACAACTGCGAAAACTTAAGGCCCAAAGGACTCAGGCCTGGGGAATATCCCAAGGGAATCTGGTCAAACTCACCCTGGAAAGTAATGCCACTCTCAAGGCCCTGAAAAAGACTGTGGATAAGGTAAGAAAGGGGAGAGGTCAGAAGAAAGCCAAAAAACCTGGCTCCCTGCAGTGAAAAGGACGTGGAGATAGAGTGATTCCTCCTGACTCCTGCCTGGGTGAGCACTTGGAATACCTTTACTCCATGTCTCCTCCCATCTTACATTTTAAGTGAAATTAATAATGATTTAATTTTACAGTAAGTACCGAAATATTGGTTGGCACACAGTATGTGCTGTTAGACTATTTATTACTGCTTTCTCCCATTTGCCTAAGTAGCTTCCCTGTGTTCAAGCAGGGGAACCAACTCTACTCTCTCCCCTTTTCACCCATTTTTCTGGTAAAGGTCTCTTCCTGCTTCCAATAGGGTGAAAAAATCCTTAAGCTGGCTGAAATATGTAGGAAATTTGAAACAGAGGAAGAAAAAGTGCTGCCTTTTTATTCATCGACATTGACTCCCAAGGAGCTGGAGGAGGCTGAGGAGAATAACCTAGAAGAGGTTTCTGAGGAGTTCGCAAAGGTAAAGGCTGGGGATGACGGGCCACTGGGCAGCAATCGCTAATGGATCCCACTGTACACCGTCCTTTAACCCAACTCCCAGGTGATGGCAGATTACAAAGGGATGGAGAATTTCTGGAAAAGGTACAACAAGGTAAAACTGGAGCAACTGAGCCTCCAGCACAGATGGGCCCAGCTGTTGGAGATTAATGGGAAGCTGCGGGAGATGCTCAAGCAATACTTGGATGGCATCTCCGTGAATGATGAAGTGCTGAGCCAGCTCAACCCACTCTTCATAGTCAACCATCGAAGCAACTTACCCCAGCCCCTGATCACACCTGCTGCCCAGTCAGATGACAAGCAACTTCCAACCACTTACAACATCATTGAAGCAGCCCATGTGATCTCCCACACCTTGTGAGCCAAGGAAATAAAATCTCTTTTCAATCCCAAGATTTTAGTTTTTTTGAGAACCCTGATGCCTTTGCTATTAAAAATTTCCATGGAAATTTAAAAGATCTTTATGTCTTTGCCATTTTTGACAGAGCAATCTACTTTGAGGACACTATAAATAGAGAAGACTAGGAATAGAGGACACTAGGAATACTGCATCCCTAGGAGTAGACAGAATAGCTAGGCAACCACCAGGAGGTTTACTGCTCAATAAAGTATTGCTCTTTGCAAAGTCAGGACATCATGGGAGCCAAAACCCATACCTTAAAGACCTAGGGAGAACCCACGGGAATCTTAACACCAAGTGCTTGAGGTAAGTTGGACAGCAAGATGAGGCCAAGGGAAGAGGTGATCCTAGGCCTCCAACCATCCCCATACCAAGCAAGACCCAATTCAGAATGTCTTTTTCCTCATTCCATTTATAAAAGCAGGCTCAGAAAGTATCAGGTGAAGAATGCAAAGTTTTTTTTTAAAAAAGTCTTCTTTATTTCTTTTTGCTCTTGTTTCGTTTCTCTTCCTTGAGCTTCTTTTTGGAGACTTTGGGTCTGTTGGCCTTTCTATATAGATGATACCCAATGAGGCCCAGGAGGGCTGGCACCATGGCCATGCCTACCAGCGGCAATATACCCTTTACCAACTTTTGCCAGTAGTTGGCTCGGATCAGTGCAATCAGCTCCACATCATACTGCACCACTGCATCAGCTGGAGAGGCAGGGGAAGGAAGGGTTAGAATCTCTGTGCTTTGTACCCAGGGCTCAGAAACCCCAATGGAAACAGAGGAGGTGGGTCACAGCAAAGCCAACCGCGAAGCTGCTAAGATTTAAATGTGGGATTGAGTTCCCTAAGATAAAAGCAGAGGACGGTTAGGAGCACAGTCTAGTGATAGTCATGTGCTCCCAACTAAATGTGTGGCTTGGGTTTAGTGACAGGTCTTTGACAATTCAAGAATATTTTCTGTGAATATGAAATATACATGTAAGAGAACCTCTGTACTAACTACCCTATTGCCAAACAACCACATGCATAGCATCTTTGCAGGGCAGAAATTAATTAGATTTAAACTAGACATATTTAACTTTTTCCAACCAATGAGCACACTCAATGAGATATTACAAAAGATAGGAGTTTGTACCTAAGAGCAAGAAAGGAAGATGGAACTGGCTTAAGAAGTAAGGGGGCAGGCAGAAGAGGAGTGAGTTGGGGGAGAGTTGCAAACAGAAGCAAAAAAGCAGCTTCAGGGGACCAGCAGTTAGTGTAATGGCTATGTTGCTGGACTCCCACGTAGACGACCACGGTTCAAGTCCCGGACCTGGTGGCTTAAACTCACGCCAGGTGCATGTACATGCGTGCCCAAGATCCCGAGAGGAGAATGGAGGAGAAGGGATTGTGGCGTGGCCATCCCCCCTGGCGGGGAGGCGATTTCTCACTTTCTGTCTCTCTGTCTCTCTCTGTCTTTCTGGCAAGCACACACACCCTATAGCAAAAACCTCTCAAAAAAAAAAAAAAAAAAGAAAAAAGGCAACTTAGGGAATGGAGAGGGAATAGAGCTTTGGATAAAAGCGCTTTTGGGGGCTGACAGGTGGCATGGTGGTCAAGGTGCTGGATTCCCACATGGCCAACTGCAGTTTGAGTCCTGGACCTGGCAGCTTGCTTTCTCATTCTCTCTCTCTCTCTCTCTCTGGTAAAATTCAAAAATAATAATTATAAATAGAATAAAATAATACTTTTTTTTTGAGAGAGATATTTTTGTTATAGGGCACATGCACTTCCCAGAGAGATAGAAAGCGAGAAATCATTCCCTAGGGAGATGGCCATGCTACAATCCCTTCCTCACTCTCTTCTTGGATTGTGGGCATGCACACACGTGCAGCCAACGTGAGTTTCAAGCCGGTCCAAGACTCGACCACATATGAGTTCAGTACCTTAACTAGTATGGCATCTGCTGGCCCCTAAATAAATAATTCTTAAAAAAGAAAAAAAAAAAAAAAGAAGAAGAAGAATTTCTTCTTTATCTCCCTATCCTCTTTCCAAGCCTCCCTCTAAGCTGGAACTAGGCAAGAATTCTGACACCAATACAACATATTTTGGCCATTAGAACATCTGCTATAACCAAAAGAAAAGATAAGTTTCTAGGGAAATCTGTCCAGTCTTAGCCTTTCAAGGATATCAGCAGTGAATTATGAGGACCTTTAAAGCTATTGAGTGGACTTGGCTTTTAAAAGTTGTTTTTTGTTTTGTTTTGAATTACTTGACTGTGATTATTTTTATTATCTCTTCCCTGGTGGAAGCTAAAAGGAAGGGTGGGGATGTGGCGAGAAGCCATGCCAGCTGCACGGATGACCCAGCGTAGAGCTGTAGGAAAAAGGCGAGAAGGAAGTTCAGAGTTATAGGGCAGGTGGCAAGAAGCAGCAAAGCCATGTGGCTTAAGTAGATATCTCTTCCCTGAAAAGTCACTGGCTGTGATTTTTTTTAAGGCCAGGTAGCCTTAACGGGTTATATCTCTAGTCCCTGTTGATCCGAGGAGGAAAAAAGTGGTTCTGTGGAAAGAGACCCCAGCCACTCCTGTCTTTTTTAGCAGATGGTCTTGACCTTTGCAAGCTCAAAGTATATAGCTCCTTGTAGCTCTTAGGCACTGGGTATTTTGATGACCTGAGAGAGTCAGATTACCTGGGATGGATGGTGGAAATCCCCGTTTTCCATAGGCCAAGTGAGAAGGAATGATTGCCCTTCGCTTCTCTCTGAGGGAAGGAATGTGAGTCACAGCCAGAGGCAAGAGGGGCCCAGTAGGCTCGGTCCATCTGACACTCCACCCGCAAAACCCCCTGGATACTCGCACCAAAACATGACTTTCCCACCTGGCCACCAAACAAGTTGACCAGCAAAGGTGTCCCACCCCCCCATCTGCCTCCAGACTTCCAACAAAAACAACAGCCAGAGAGAGGCTTAGGCTGTCCTCTGGGGTCCCAGTGACCTGGATCGGCACAGTGCAAAGCCAGGGTCCCCTAGCTCATATTCCTCTTCCTCCTGGAGGAACAGGGGGTGACAGAGAAAGCCTCTATCCATGCAAAAGTGCTACCCAGACACACCCCTGCCCAGTACTCACCCCACACACATGTCCAGAAGGCTCTGCTCCAGACCTTGAGGGAAGAAGACATAACTGAACTAGAAGCTACCCACATTCCCCAAATCCCACAAGGAAAATGAAGTTTCCCCCTTGACCCTCAATTTTGCTTTCTCCCACCTCTCAAGAGGAATATCAGAAGTAGAGACTGAACCTCAGGAGGTAGCTAGGAGGGCCCTACTCTTCCGGGGGGCATTTCCAGGGCGGCCTAGGGGTTGAAGAGGGGAAGAAGGGGAATGATATTGGGAATGGGAGCCACATACCTGGGATCACCTGTTTTTGTCCAAGTTCTATAACCAGAGGGTCTCTGGTCAGGGAGGTGTCAATAATACGTCCATCTGTCAAGCTGCCCTGGTGGGGAGAGAGCATCAAGAACACACCCTAGCACCTCTCCCTCCCGGCAGGCCCGCAACACACACCTGCACCGCTGGGCGGCGGCAACCCCCTACAGCGGCAGCATAGCGATCCCCTCAGGGCAGAAAGGAACAGGAAGCCCCAAAGGGTTGGCACTTCTCAGAGATCTCACCACCCTTCGCTTCTCGGTGCTCTGGAGGAACTGCTGGGAAATGGGGCAGGAGACATAGAAGAGGGGCGCCCCTCCCCCTGCCACGTGCTCGACGCCCCCAGGTCGCGGAGTTTCTTCTGCACCGCTTGCCACGTGTCCAAGCCAAAGCTGACGTGTTTCAGCAAGGCACCACCCCCTCCCAGTCCCCGCCCCAGCCCCCCAGACCTCTCACCGTGTAGTGTATGTGAAGCGTGTCTCCAAAAGCAGCGGACTCCGCGCACGGTTCGGGTGGCTCCACCTAGGATCGGACTACGGGGGTCATGGGTGCTCTTCCAAAGATCCCGTTCTCGCCCCTAGACCCAGCACCCCCAGCTCACTTTCTGCACTTCCTCTCCTCCCTGCTCCCGGGAGGATTAGACCCCCGTATTTCTCCACAAGGCCCCGCCCTCCGGCGCAGGGGCCAGGACTACCTCCTTCTCACCAGGGTCTCCACTTGGAGGGTCCGGACCGGACTTTCGGTTTTGAACTCGGCCTCAGCCAGACACGCCGCTCCACTGAGCAGCAGCAGCAGCAGACGGAGCGGGAGTAGCGAGGGGCGCAGGGTCATGACTGGACACCAGGACAGGCTGCTCGGGTGGCGGCGGCTAGGACAGTGTTCCCTCGGCGCCCAGGCCAAACTGGACGGGCCGGGGGCGGGTCGTGATGCTCAAGCTCCGCCTCCGGCAGCTCTTCCTCCACCTTGTCCCCACCCCCTGGCGGGAAGAGGCCGGGGGAGCCCAGCCTACCCTCTGAGATCCAGAGATCAACAGATTCTGACCGTCCGTTGGCCGTTCTGTCCCATAATGAGGGGCTGGGCCACATAATAGCCCCCATTTACGGGACTTGTTGTGTGCCAGGAACTACTCTCAGCTGCTTCTCAAAACCACCCTGAAAGTCAGGCGGACCTGTATCCTCTGTGCAGATAAGGCGCTTCAAGCTGGGTGGTGACCAGGGACAGGAGTCACACCCAAGAGCCCGCCTGCGCCCAGCGCCGTGTGCCCTGCGGCTCGGTCCTCGGTCTCCTTGTACCTATTCTGGCAGTGTGGCTGGCCCACCCAGCATCAGCAGTGGTCGCATTCCTCTCCCACCTTTGCCCTTTAGCTTCAATTTCTAGCACATATCCAAAACCAGGTAGGGAGCTGTCCCATCCTCCTCTTTTTGAGATGCTAATTAGAAAAAGAGGCTATTTTCCCGTGAAAACAAGAAAATTCTTGACCGTTAGCTTTGGCACTTTTCCTTTCTCCTTTCATCAACAAACTTTTCAAAAGGACAACATACACAATTCTCTTACGTTTGTACATGGCTTCATTTTTTTTTCTTCATTTTGCCAGGGAGCCTGTGCTCCAGCAGGAGACAGACAGAGGGAAAGTGAGAAAGTGACCCCCCATAGAGAATGGTTACCCATAATCCCTTCTCCATTTCTCCCTCCTTTAGGGATTTTGGGGACGCTGAAACATGCACCCATGTTTCTCAAGCCATTGGGTCTGGGACTCAAACCGCAAGGTCAGCTATCTTAATCACACCGCCAGTAGCACAGACCGCGGATTTTTTTCTTTTTTTTCAGGTGCTTCTACCAGTCCCTGCCCCCACTGACCAGTCAGGCCTTGACAGGATTCTGTTCCCTAAAATCATCAGCAAGACCTGTCACCAAATTCATGGGTCATCCTTGGTCCCTTGTCCTCCTTAGCAACTCCCTGGTATCTGTTGCCACTGAGCTCTGCCTGCCTTCCCAGGCTAAAGGCACAACTGCCCACTGGGAGTCCCCATCTGATGTCTGAACAGCACCTCAGATGCCAGAGGTCCAACACTGCACTCCTCCTTCCTCCTTCACTCCCAGTCTCCTGTCCTACTGGTGATCCATAGTCTTGATTCTTCTCCAGCCTTCCCATATCCAACTAGTCTCTTTTGGATTCTCCCTCTCCAGTTCTTCATTCCATTCCAATGGCTCCCTCCTGAATTAATCATCTTTTCTTTTTTTAAAAGGGGGGGGGAAACTCTCAGCAGGAGGGAATTTTGGGGGGTGATGGAATGCTGTACATCTTAAGAGAGATGTACTGGGGGTCCTTGGAAGTGTCATGATGCATTTTTGCATAGAAGAATATGAAAAAATACTGTCAAAAATACATTGGGAACCAGCAGTTAGCGTAATGGCTATGTCGCTGGACTCCCACGTAGTCAACCGCAGTTCGCGTCCTTGGCCCAGTGGCTTAAAACTCACGCTGGGCGCGTGTGCGTGCCCGCCCAAGATCCCGAGAGGAGAATGGAGGAGAAGGGATTGCGGCGTGGCCATCCCTCCTGGGGGGGGGATTTCTTGCTTTGTCTCTCTTTCTCTGTCTGTCTGGCGAGCGCACGCACCCTATGGCAAAAAAAAAAAAAATTGACTTTTCTGACGACCCAAAAGATTACATGGGTATGTGCACACTTCCATTTCACTGTATGCAAATAGTTTATTTTTTAAATACAGTTATTTTATTTAACTTTATTTGCTTACTTTTTCAACATCACCAAATAATTTATTTGGAATCAGAATTAAAAGAACATTTGACAGCTGTGAAATAGATATTTATTCGGATACTTCTGTAGTTGTACCACTGACTCATCACAAATTACTGGATTCATGTTACTTTACTCCTTCAGGACGGGGATTCATCGATTTCAAATCTGGGATCTTCAAACTTGAAGCTAGGGAACGTGTTCACGTCTGCTTTCCCATACATCTGCTTCAGCTTAAAATGCTCCCTCTCCAGATCTTGCTTATATTCCGGGCCAGTACCAACAGGTGCTCCAGTTGTCTGTCGTCTAGATTTGTATTCTCTAATCTTGTCCAGTTTCTGTACAGGATCAAGTTCCTTATTAAATGCCACTGCTGTGACACCAATGTTCCTCCACAAATGGACCGAGACTGCTGACCGAATGACGGAGGAGCACCTGAAGAGCCTCTGAAGAATCACGGTGGCTCTTGGTTACCTGCACTCATGCCAGAGCCACTGCCGCCGCCACCGTTCTACTTCCGGCACTCTGCTTAATTTGATCAGAAAGGGACAGAGTGGAGACCAGCAGATGGCATAATGGCTACATTGCTGAATTCCCATGTAGTCGACAGCGGTTTAAGTCCTGGACCCAATGGCTTAAACTCATGCCAGGTGCGTGTGCATGCGTGCCCAAGATCCCAAGAGGAGAATGGAGGAGAAGTGATTGCAGCATGGCCATCCCCCCTGGGGGATAATTTCTGGCTTTCTCTTTCTGTCAAGCACACATGCCCTATAGCAAAAACCTCTTAAAAAAAAATAAAAAGAAAGAAAGAGACAGAGCGAGAGAGAGAGCAAGCAAGCTGCCAGGTCCGGGACTCAAACCACGATTGGCCATGTGGGAATTCAGCACCCTTAACCACCATGCCACCTTCCAGCCCAATATCTTACATTTTTTAAATTGAGAAAGACAAAACAAAAACAAAAACGCATTTCCAAATTTCTTAAAGCTGGATACGGGGCGAGCTGGTGCCATGGTGGTTAAGGTGACTGGACAGCTATCTGCACAGTCCACGTGCCAGACCAGGCAGCTTGAGAAACACACCAGACACATGTGTGTGCATGCCTAAAATCCCAAGAGGGGGTCCAGCAGGTGGTGTGGTGGATAAGGGCGCTGGATTCCCACATGGCCGACCGTGGTTCAAGTCCCAGACCTGGTGGCTTACTTTCTCGCTTTCCCTATCTCTCTCTCTCTCTGGTGGTCAAATTTTAAAAACTAACAATAACAAATGGAATTAAATAAATAATTCTTTTTAAAAATAAAATAAAATAAAATCCCAAGAGGAGAATGGAAATGAACGGACTGCAGCATGGCCATCCCTCCTGGGGGTTGATTTCTCACTTTCCCTCTCTGTGTGTTTCTGTATAATGAGCTCACACTTTTTACAGCAAATTAAAAAAAAAAAAAAAAAGCCGATATAGCCATCTAACCAAGTTCGGGCTAATAAGACATAAACAGAAATGTTGGAAGTACTAACTTGGACTTCCAGGAAGTCTCCTTCCAGAGACCTTCTAACTTACTTAGGACGTGTGCCATGTATGTCTTTCCCTCCTCCCTTAGTCATCTTCCCTTCTTTCCATGGCCCAGAATTTGGATGAGGTGAATTAAAGCTCTAGCAGACACATTAGACCATGAGGTGACCATGAAGATGAAAGTGATGTGCTAGGATGATGAAGCAAAAGGAGAAGCCCAAGACCCTGGTAGCAGGAGAGCCATTGAACCAGCCCTGGATTGCCTACCACCAGAAACACGGTAACCGAGGTAGAAATAAACATCACCAGCCAGGTGGCATGGTGATTAAGGTGGCTTGATCCCACCTGGCCGACAGCACAGCTCAAGATCTAGACCCAGTGGCTTAAAAGACACACTAGACAGGGTCAGCAGGTGGCATGGTGAAGGTGCTGGACTCCCACATGGCCAACTGCAGTTTAAATCCCAGACCTGGTGGCTTGCTTTCTCTTTCTTTCTCTCTCTCTGGTAAAATTAAAACATAATTAATAAAATTATTCTTTTTCAAAATATTTACTTATGTGTGTATGTATGTATGTATTTATTTTTAAAATTCAACCAGAGAAAGACAGTGACAGAAAAAGGAAAGTGAGAAAGCAAGCTGCTAGGTCTGGGACTTGAACTGTGGTTGGCCATGTGGGAGTCCAGCACCTCAATCACTACACCACTTGCTGGCCCCAAATTAAATTCTTTAAAAAAAAAAAAAAAAGACACTGTGGGTGTGTGTGCACAAGTGTCCAAAATCTCAGGAGGGGAATGGAGAAGAGATTGCAGTATGGCCATCTCCCCTAGGTAGTATATTCTCACATTGTCTCTCCCCAGCAAGCACGTGTGCCCTACAGCAAACTAAAAAAAATAAAATACACTTATTTTGTTTGTTTAAAAAGTTAAAAAGCTGGGGTCAGCAGGTAGCATGGTGGTTAATGGCACCGGACTCCCACATGGCTGTCCGTAGTTCTAGTCCCAGACCTGGCAGGTTGCTTTCTCACTTTCCCCTTTCTCTCATTTGGTCCCACTCTGGTCAAATTAAAATCAATTAATTTTTTAAAAGTTAAACGTTAACAATCCCTTCATCCCCAACCTCTGCTTACTTCAGCACACTGTATTACTGCTGCTATCTACAGTTTCGGTCATGCCACCTGCTCACTAAAAATAATACCAGAGCTTGCACTGCCTGATGAATAAAATTTTGACTCCTTGACATGCCGATGGAAAGTTTTTGTCATCTGGCTCTAAACGACTTTTCCAAACTTGATTTTTATTCCATTAATCTGAAAGTCTTTGAGACAGGAACCTCATGTTTCTCATTTTTAATCATCTTTACTAATACGGTATCAGACACTAAATGCTTGCTCAGTGTTTATGAAGTGAACCAAATCCCCTTCCTGTTCATGGACTGTGGTCTAGCTCATGCTCTTCCTTCACCTGTCAAGCTCCCTCCAGGCTAAGCTCAAATATCCCTCCTCTGTGAAGTTCTGACTCTCTTAGCTAGAAGAGACTTCCCCTATTTCTGACCTTCAGGCACACATCGGGACATTATTATATTTCTCCTCATGTGGCAGTTGTGTTGTGTATGGCCTACTCCTCCCTTCCCATCTCTCCCAAAGAATCAGCTTACTAATGGCAAGGACAAGATTGTCATCATGTCCGGAGCTCCCTAGGTACCACCTGCGCAATATCCTCCAAGAAGCAAATTGTAGTAAAAAATGTTTTATTTTGATAAAAATAGATAAATAAAAACTAGGTCAAGCAGGTGGAGTGATAGTTAAGGCGTTGGAAACCACATGACAGACTACACGGTTCAAGTCCAGGACCCAGTAGCTTGAAAAAACACCCTGGGCGAGAATGGAGAAGGGACGGTGGCATGGTCATTTTCCTTAGGGGGTATTTCTTGCTTTCCCTCTCTGTCTCTCTCTAGTGAGCACACTTATTTTGCCCTATGGCAAAAATTAAAAAAAAAAAAAAAAAAAGACAAGTAGCAGAATAGATGTGATGTGAACCCATTTCTAACTCTCCTCAAATGCAGATAAGTACAGGTACTTAGAAAAGGAACTAAAGGGGCTAGCAGGTGGCGTGGTGGTTAAGGTGCTGGACTCTCACATGGGACAAAGGTTCAAGTCCCAGATCTGGCAGCTTGCTTTCTCACTTTCTCTTTGTCTCTGGTCAAATTTTTAAAAATAATAACAATGGGGAACCAGCAGTTGGCATAATGGCTATGCTGCTGGACTCCCATGTAGTTGACCACAGTTTGAATCCCAGACCTGGTGGCTTAAATTCACCCCGGGGGCACATGTGCATGTGTGCCCAAGATCCCAAGAGGAGAATGGAGGAGAAGGGGTTGTGGTGTGGCCATCCTCACTGGGGGGTGATTTCTTGCTTTCTATCTCTTCTTGGTAAGCGCATGTGCCCTATAGTAAAAAACTCTGAAAAAAAGTAACAACAAATAAAGTTAAATAATTCTTTAAGATTTTATTTAACTTTCAGGACCAGCAGTTGGCATAATGGCTATGTTGCTGGACTCCCATGTAGTCCACTGCGGTTTGAGTCCCAGACCCAGTGGCTTAAACTCATGCTGGGCACGTGTGCATGCGTACCCAAGATCCCGAGAGGAGAATGGAGAAGGGACTGCGGTGTGGCCATCCTCCCTCGGGGGTGATTTCTCACTTTCTGTCTCTTGTCTGTCTTTCTGGCGAGTGCATGCACCCTACAGCAAAAACCTCTAAAAAAATTACTTTGGTTACAAAAATAATTATTAATTAAATATTAAGTGAATGAATTCAGAAACACGAGGGCATGTGTGGGAGGTGTTGAATGAGTTGTGCTAACAGACATTAAAGAACCAGGGGGCAGAGAGAGTGGGGAGGGAGAAGTCAGAGAGGTCACAGGCAATTTTTCCTTTTTTTTTTTGCCAGAGACACAAAAACAAAGTGAGAGGAGAAAGCACTCCCCATGAAGAATGGTTCTTTCTACATTTCTACATTTCTCCCTCCTACACAGGCCTACACCATCTTCTGGCCCGGAAGTGGACTCTTTAAACAAGTGATAAAGGGGCTGGTGGGTGGTGTGGTGGTTAAAGGTGCTGAACTCCCACATGGCAGACCACAGTTCAAGTCCTGGACCTGGTGGGTTGCTTTCTTACTTTCTCTCTCTCTGTGTCTGATTGAACTGGAAAATAATAATAGAGTTCAGTAAAATAATTTTTTAAACACACACACACACACACACACACACATACAAGTGATAAAGGAAGTACATAGAACTTTGGGGTAAATGGCTAAAGTAAGGACTTGGTTAAAAAAAAAAAAGTAGAGATGTAGTTGGAGAGGGAATTCAGGGCTGAATGTAGAAAGCCTTGAATGTCAGACTAAGGCAGTGAGCTTTCCTTTTCTCTTCGGAGAGGTTTTTGCTATAGGGCATGTTGGTTCACTAGAAAGATAGCGACAGACAGAAAGCAAGAAACCATCCCCGGCGGGATGGCCACACCACAATCCATTCTCCTCTTGGGGTCTTGGGCACGCACGCACACACACACCCAGCATGAGATTAATCCACCAGGTCTGGGACTCGAACTGCAGTCATCTACATGGGAGTCCAGCAACATAGCCATTATGCCATCTGCTGATCCCGGCAGTGAGCATTTCCAAATGAGGGTGACATCAGCATACACTGCGCCGATGCGTCAGCTGACTGGAAAAGTGTCAGGAAGGTGGAAGGCCACTGTCTGGTCCAGGGCTGAGGCTTTCTTTTGACACCTGAATAGGAAGGGGAAGTGAGATGGAGTGACAGAGTGCAGTAGTAGGAATGAAGAGTGAAACTTATAATAAAGGCCACAACATCCACCTGCAGGGGGCAGCACAAGTCCACCTGAACCCAGGGGGGACCATGGAAGGTTTTTCCTTAGTCAAGTTAGGAAAATCTTGAAGGACAGAGAAAAGTGAGATGGTTCTGGGAAAGGCAGAGCTGGCTGGCCCTGACTAGAGGCACAACTTAATCAGAACTCCACCATCCCAAAAGGTGCCTCTTTCAGTGAGCAGGAGAAACTCTACCACAGTCCCCTGGCTTCTGTGGGGCACACACCACACCCAGCTTAGTCAAGGACAATGTTTATTCATTCATCAAGATTGCATACCTATTATGTGCTAGACAGTAAGCAGGGTACTGCTTTTATGTTTTTAAGCACGTTTATTTGTAACAGGCTAATAAAAAAAAGTCTATGAATCAGCATATGCAAATCTAGGTTCAAATTTGCCATCATATTTTCAAGGACATGCATACCCTGGCTGAAAAGATGGTTTAAGTGTGCTAAATATTCACTAATCTAAGAATGAAGCAGTCCCCGCCCTTCCCCTATGGTTGGTCTAACCAAGGAGGTACCATCCCATCAATGAAGATCTAGCAAGGCAAAAAGATTTTCAGTCCTCAATCTAGGACCTAAAGCTAAGAGTGTGCTTTACAGGGACCAGCAGGTGCTGGTTAAGGCGCTGGACATTCCCACATGGCTGACTATACAGTTAAGAGTCCGAGACGTGGCAGCTTCCTTTCTCCTTCCTTTTCTCTCTCTCTCTGTCTCTCTCTGGTCAAATTAAATGACTGAATAAATAAAATTAAATAATTTTTAAAAGAGAGAGAGTGTGTGCTTTACTTTCTTCAGAACTCAGAAACTGAGTCCTGGGTTCAGAATCCCAAGCTTAAGTTCTCTAACCTTAAATGCCCTTATACTCAATTCTGTTCAAGGATGGCTCTCAACAATATATGGGATTGGGGGTGGGGGTGCCAGGTGGGAAAGCTCATTCTTAAATCTCCTGCCTGGCCTGGCCACTAGGCAGCTCTCTACATGCCTGGGCTGTGGTTGTGAGGAGGGGTGGGAGAAGAAAGGGTGCCCAGGTAGAACTGGTCAGCTCAGTACAGACAGCTAGAATTCTGCCTTGGGTGCCCTCTACTCCTCCAGCTTCAGTTCAGAAGCCCAATTTGCTCCTGGAGCCCAGACTCTCCTGCAGCTCATGGCCAAAGTGACACACTCAGGCAGACACTCGCCATCAAGCCTTGAAAGCAGATGGTCCTGTCCCAACTTCTCATTTCCAGTGGCTTCGCTCCCTTTGCCAATACCATTCCTCTGTCCTAACCCACTTCCCTTTCCTCAGGAGCTCAGCTCAGGGTCACTCTTACCCAAACCAGCAATCAGGGTCAGGAAACCCAGAAACAATGAAAACCTGCAGAGGAAGGAAGGCATCTGGATTCTATCACTCCCCAGTGACCAGCATGATTCTCCATCTCGCCAGCCATCAAGTTAGAAAGTGAGAGAGCTGGACTCTGGGGCTTCTACCTTCACACCCTTCAGAACAGAAAAGCTGCTGCTCTTCGCAGTGTGGCTGCCTTCCCAGACACCGCTCTCCACACTAAGCGGCAGCAAAAGGAAGGCTGTATCTATCTCTGCAGACATTGCCCAACTTTCACTGCCTCACGAACTGCACTAGTTATCCCAAAGGATTCCATGACACCCCAGAGATGATCTCCACGACCCTCCCTTGTACAGTGGTCTGACCCACTTTCAGCACATGCTTAAAAACAGAAGGCACTAAATAACTACTCATCAACTTTCTGCTCTGATCAACAGCAGCACTTAAATTAGAAGTAATATTTGCAGTGACTCTCCAGAGCCTCCGGGTCTTACGACTTATGTCTGAGAAACTCAGGCACACACTCATTCTGTCACCTTCCCTGTACTCTAGAATGAAGGGGACATTTTTGCCTTCCATCACACCTGGACCAATCTAAGCCCTTTCACTGGCTTCCTCCAGACTCATTTTGGAAGCTCCCTTGCAGGTTATCATGAAGTGGACTCTGGGTATGTACCTTTTACCAAGCATGACTGATAAGCTATGAGTGCTCTTAAAGAAGGGAATGGTATTGCTTTAAGGGCAGGGTGATAAGTAAGTATTTACATCTCGGGTTGAGTCCCCCTCATCCCATGGTCCCTAAAAAGAAACTAGAAGGTTCAAGCAACTGCCTACAAGAGGGCTCCCTTCTCCCTGCCATCCTCAACTCAGGGACAGAAAGGATTAGGCCATTCTCTTCCTTAAATTGTCTAGGGGTCAAAAGCCCTCCAATAGGCCTAGTCTTCTCCATTATCATTACCTTATAACAAGCTGTAGTTTTAAAACAGTATCTATTTATTACAAATAACATACTTGAGAAAGGTGCTCCTGGGGACGGCAGGTGGCATAGTGGTTAAGGGCACTGGACTCCCACATGGCCAACCCTGGTTCGAGTTCTGGACCTGGCGGCTTGCTTTCTCACTTTCTCCCCACCTCTCTCTCTCTCTCTCTCTCTTTGTCCCTCTCTTGTCAAATTAAAAATAAATAAGTAAATAGCTAAATAATGTTAAAACCAAAAAAAGATACACTTCTTTAAAAACTAAAAGAAAGAAAGGTGCTCCTAACTTGTCAACAACTTGTCACCAAGTAGGATTTTAGTTAGAGTGGCCTAGAAAGGGAAAAGCGCCATTTGGTTTTGAGGATTAAGTGGGTGAGGTTCAGAGCTATACGGTGGCGAAGGGACGTCAGGCTGGCGTAGTTGAGGGTCACACACACAGAAGCACTAGTCTTTGAAGGTCATGGCTTACTAGTAACAAGAGAAGGGCTGCACAGGAAAATGGCAGGAGAGGAAGCGGAAAGGCTAACCGGACACAAAATACTTCACACTGGTACTTGGGGTTCTCAAGCTTATTACATGACTAGGTCCTGCCCTTTACCACAACAGCAGGTTGGGAAGACCTCTGTCTTCAAAGCATAAAAAAGTGGTAGGAGCAGACCAGGTCTGCCTGCTCATCCAGACCTTGCCTACCTCAAGGGTAGCACCATATCTTTCTTTGCTTAGAGCCAGACCAAATGCTGACAGGAGAGGAACAAGTAGTGACAGAAGTGGGATGGGAAGACCAAGGCTTTTTTTTTTTTTTTTTAGAGAAGATTTTTTGTTATGGGGATGTGTTGTCCACCAGAGAGACAGATTCACCAGAGAGACAGAAAGCGAGAAATCACCCCCCAGGGGGGATGGCCACGCAACAATCCCTTCTCCTCCATTCTCCTCTAGAGACTTTGGCCACGCGCACACATGTGGCTGGTGTGAGTTTTAAGCCACTGGGTCTGGAACTCAAACCATGGTCAACTATATGGGAGTCCAGCGACGTAACCATTATGCCATCTGTTGGTCCCAACCAAGGCTTTTTAAAAAAGGTCTATTCCAAGACATTTGTGAAATCTCTGGATGAAGCCTGCCAATGGTAAACCATGTACCTGTAGAGTTGATTCAGGGCCATCAGTTTTAAGAAGACCGCGTACATTATACTGCCCGGATGTTTACCCTTCATGCTTGCTCACTGCCAAAGTCCAGAACTAGATGGGTGAGGGGACTCCAGTCTACGATGAGGGGACTCTGTTTAAGCTAGATACACTTGACATGCTGGGCTGGGGAGATCCGAGAGCGACTGCTGCACGGGCACTCCAAGTTCAGGGCCATCACCAGGTCTGTAGAGTCGACCCACAGGTGATAACTATGGCAACATTCAGGGTTTAACCCTTCAGTACTGGAGGAGCAAAGTCACAAAGGCCTCACGCTCTGGCACCCGAGGCTTTTGGGCTCCACTCCGGGAAGAATTAAGCAGTGCAGAGATGTGCCTGCTCTTCCATAACCGCACTCCCCACCAATCCACCGATCGAGTGTGCCCGTCACCCCTCTGCTGAGAGCAGAGCAGAACTAGAAACAGAACTACCCTCACCATCAAAACACTCTCCCATGGCTGCTGCACAAGGAGGAAGGTCTGCTCCGAAGCTGCATAAAACAAGTTTAATTTCCAACCAGGGTCACAGTCATCGCGTTATCCCACATTTTCAGCAAGGATAGAGAAGGTGAGTTATTAAACATATACAGTCTACATTCCAGAGGAGAAAAAAGAAGAGAAAAGCCAGTTCAGAACTGCGGTTACTACTATAACACCACAAACAAATGTGCCTGCTCTTCCATAACCGCACTCCCCACCAATCCACCGATCGAGTGTGCCCGTCACCCCTCTGCTGAGAGCAGAGCAGAACTAGAAACAGAACTACCCTCACCATCAAAACACTCTCCCATGGCTGCTGCACAAGGAGGAAGGTCTGCTCCGAAGCTGCATAAAACAAGTTTAATTTCCAACCAGGGTCACAGTCATCGCGTTATCCCACATTTTCAGCAAGGATAGAGAAGGTGAGTTATTAAACATATACAGTCTACATTCCAGAGGAGAAAAAAGAAGAGAAAAGCCAGTTTCAGAACTGCGTTACTACTATAACACCACAAACAAACTTTAGGGGTGGGGGGAGGGGCGTCCCCAGGAAGAAAACTGGAACAAGGGAAAGCATAAAATTAACCCACCTGAGGCGGGCAGGAGAGGGAAAGGATTAAAAATGGAATGAAACACCCAATCCCAAAGAGCTGTTAGGTGAATGGGAATGTACAATACAAAGGACCGCCCCTGCCAAGGGCTTAGCAGCCAGGGCTACAACCAAGACCACTACTGCCACCTGCTGGACAGATCTGGAGCAGCACCAAGGCAGCCTCCGAGGCTGCTTCCTAATACCCTCAGCCCTGACCGCCCTGGAGCGCCCCCCAAACAAGGTGAGAATTAGGCATGAAATGAGAAACACCTATTTGGGATTGGCATCTAACTAGGGAGGATTAGAGAGGGAATGAGACAGGAGAAGAGGCAAAGCCCTCACCCACCACAGAGTGAGGAATCAGAAGCAGGAAAAATAAACAAGGAAAAGACAGGCAATAGCAGTAAATGACATGAGAAGGCAAAGGAGAGTTGGGAAGTGAAAAGAACAGGGGCAGGACACAAAAATCTAAGGAAACAGAGCAAAGAAAAAGAGTGGAGAGAAGCATCTGTGGGGTCAAGGGGATGACTATATTTTAAAATAAAATAGAACCTCCAGCACCTCCCCCCACACACATGCCGACCACACACACAAACATACAAAGGCCTAGAGAGCAAGATACCTGCACACGCTCACTGCATCTTAGGTCAGCAACACATCACGAAGTAACTGGCACTGAGGGACACACCCCTGGAACCTCTCTTTCACAGTTCAATCTGGGACGGGGTGGGGGTATTGATCTGCCTGATGGAGACAAAGGTGGCAGGAAGCCTGGCCCCATGGAGTGGGCCTGGGACAGCCCTTCTGGGAAGGGGTCCCTCACCATGCCATGGGGGGCCCTGGGCCCTGACCATAACAGAAAGGTAATGGGCAGCTGTCTTGGAGCTCAGGGCGCAGCCAGCACACACAGGAACCCACAGAACAGCCACAGCTTCACAGAAACCGCAGAGGTCAGGACCCAGGCCAGGACCTCGTGGCCGTGCCTCGCCTCCCCATGAGTAGCAGCACAGCAGTAGTAGCAGCAGCTTCGAAACAACTACATAACAACGGGGGGAGGACCCTGAAGACCACTGCATCCCACCAGCACCAACACTGCAGGCTTCTATTTCCCACTCCAACTCCCAGATCCATTTGTGGGCTGTAGAAAGCGGGTGAGGAGGGCAAGGGAAAGTTGCTAGAATGGAGGGGAAGGGACAGCAAGGATGCTCTGAGGGCCTAGAAACAATAGAAAATCTTTTATCCTTTAGCATATCTTAGATTAGAAAAAGAGTTGGGAATGGGAGGATTGATACTGAGGTCTGCCATGTCACCCCCTCTCTTCCTTAGATTACCCAGTCCTCCCTGGTCAGGCCATCAGGACTATCAGGGTGAGAAAACTTCTGACAAAAGACAGATTAATCGCCCAGCCCCCAACATCAGAAGATGAGGTGATGAGGGCAGGAAGGCAGGGATGGGACTGATCTGCCTCATCTTCTGATGAGAGTGAAGATGGAAAACCGGAGGCCTCCTCCCTGCCCTAGGTCCCAACACACACCATGGTCTGTACTGTCCCCACCTCCCCCTCAAGCTCCTGAAGAAGAGAATCTAAGGGCAGTGGAGGAGGATCAGTTGAACACACTGGGCTGACAAGAATGAGTTCCTCGCTCCTTTCCATAACAAAGCAGAACAGAATGGCATCTCCATGAAAAGTTACAAGAGATAAGTGCCAAACCCCTGCCCTAAGAGTGGAGAGAGGGGTTCAAGGAAGATGGTGGTGGAGAATCTATCATCTGTCCTCTCATCCAGGAAAACCTACCTGCAGCAATGAGGAACCAATCCAAGACTGGGGCTGTCCAGCCTGACTGAACCCTCCAACCTTCTTCCCTTGATCTCACCAACATGGAAGGGCACATGGTGGGTTCCAGTGGGCAGTGTCCTGGCTGCAAGCCCTGAGCTGCACTCCACCCCTCCCCCCGGCCCCCACATATATATCTCTCTATACATGTATATACAGGCGCACACATGCACGCACACACAGAGAGGCCCGTGCAATTTCCATGTAGAAGAGGGAGAGGGTGGCGAAGGGGAGGAAGACAGGGGGAAGAAGAGGGGCCTGTGGGAACGGTGAAGGGACTCAGATGCCAAGAGCACAGCAACCAGTGCCAAATGAAGCAAACGGGGAGAATACCCCACCCCACCTCCCGAAGCCCAGAGAGTGGGGGTGGGGACCACCCCATGAAACCATAACAACCTTGTTTTTGTTTTAAATCCAGTAAATTGGAATGATTCATCAGGACAGCAATTGGGGACTGGTCATGTCGGTGGACAGTGGAGAGAAAGGGAGGGGGAGGCAAGGCTCTTGCTGGGCATGCGGACATGATACCCAGGGCCCTGGCAACACTTGCAACGGGAAGGAAGGGGTAGGGCTGGGGCAGGGTGACAGTAGGAATGTCAGGGGTGGGTGGGGCGGTCAGACAGGGCTGCCTGGCTTTCACTTCTTGTTTTTGAGCTGATTGGCCAGCCAGTCCAGGCCTTCATACAGCCCGTCCCCGCTGGTAGCACAGGTGGCCTGAATGTACCAGTTGCGGTGACGCAGGGAATGCAGGCCCAGCTTGTCCGTGATCTCAGCAGCGTTCATTGCATTAGGCAGATCCTGGAGTGTGAGAAAGACACACAAAAAGGGAGCCTCAGGCTCTTTCAAAGGCTTCTGGGGCACCTGCCTACTAGACAGGTGTACCATACTGTCAGCCCTTCCTTCAGTCGTAGGAAATCCCAAACAAGAGCCTAAGGAGCTACTCTGGATTTAGTCATCCTAGAACCTCAGATCCAAGACACTAGAGTTCATTCCACTGAGGAGTTGAAAACCAAACTTGGGGTTGGTAGAGAAGTGGAGAAGTGATTCAGATTAGTCAAAGCATCAAGTCTGTCTGACAGTAGGAGTGAGGGCAGTTCCACTAATGCAGACCGTAGGGAAGATGAGAGAGATGAGTTGATATATCTACACCATTCCTGAGGCTTGAAATGTTGCCAAATAAATCTGGTATGGAGGACAAGAGGGGCATAAGGCAGCCAACTGTACATAGGCCAGTCTCAGAGCTGAGAGTCAAGTCATAGGGCTTTATGCACAATGGATCCCAAGGCCCCATAATTCGCACCGCCAGGCTGCCCGCTCCCAAATTTGGGAGTGGGGAGATGTCTCACCTGTTTGTTTGCAAAGACAAGGAGCACAGCATCCCGGAGCTCATCCTCTGCCAGCATTCTCATCAGTTCTTCCCGGGCCTCATTAACTCGCTCCCGATCATTGCTATCAACCACAAATATCAACCCTAGGAAGACAGAGCATGGGCTGCACAGAGATGACACATGACCCCATCTCTCACCACCAAATGACACAAACTTCTGTACACCCTCCGGAGACAGCTGCTCCCTTTTGTTTCTCCCACCCCCATAAGTGGCAGCAGGGAAAGGGCTGGCTGCCCATAACTATGGCTCATACCCAACCCGCCCAGGCCAGTCCTAGGAAGTTCATCTGCAATACCTTGAGTGTTCTGGAAGTAGTGTCTCCAGAGGGGCCGAATCTTGTCCTGGCCACCCACATCCCACACTGTGAAACTGATGTTCTTATACTCTACCGTCTCCACGTTGAACCCTTCAGGAAAAAAACAGGCAATGGCCACTTGGCCTCAGACACCACGCCCGCAAACAACACCCCAGGTGAGTTTGGTTCTGCTTCCCCCGTGTTGCCATGATACCAACAATGGAGAGAAAGCCAGGGTTTCTCAGACCTGGTGATCCTTGACCTGGGAGCCTGAAGACCAAAAAGAAAACCTAAGAGAAGAAGTCCAAGAAGATGAAGAGGGCCGGTCAGGAGGTTTTTTAGTTGCCTGGGTGACGTGAGTCAATCTTCCCCAGTCATCAGCTCAATCTTTGCCTCTCACTTCTATGAAGAAATGACTCAGCCCCACTCCTGTACCCTGGTCACCAGAGTCTGCCTCAGTTAAGATGTGGGGCCTGGGAGGCAGAGTGAAGAAAGAGGAGTAAGCTATAGTCCTGGAGCACCAAATACACAACCAGTTGACAATGACAATCTGGAGTCCCCATCTACATGGCTAATGCTCTCCTTCCCCCCTCCCCCCCCCAAGATCTAAACCTAGGCAATTCCAGGCCTCTGGCAGGAACATCAAAGCCTTCACCTGCTTTCCAAACAACACAGAGAACAAACCAACTCTAGTGCCTGAGGGCAGGTGTTAAGTGCCAGGCTGCGGAAGTTCCCACATCAGGGAGGGCCAGGCTAGGTGGGCAAACGGCAGCCCCAGCACCTGCTGGTAACCTAAACAACCGTCCTTCTCTAAATCCCACAAATTGCACGGACTTGCCTGGGGAGAAGAGACCAGGTTGGGAGGAGGGGTCTCATGTCTCAGCCATCCACATGAAAGCCCACCTATAAGCTGGGCCCTTACCAATGGTAGGAATGGTGGTGACGATCTCCCCCAGCTTCAGCTTGTACAGGATGGTGGTCTTCCCCGCAGCATCCAGGCCTACCATCAGGATGCGCATCTCCTTCTTCCCAATCAGACTCTTGAGAAGGTTTCCAAAGATATTGCCCATGATCACAGCAGCTGCTTTCTGAGAACAGTGGGGCCCAAGTAGGGGCAGCGGCAATCTGGTTTAGGCCTGACCCTCGAATGGATGACCTGATCCTAGGCAGAAGAAATGCAAATGTGTTACCGTCATGTGCTTGTCACGACTTTTTGTAAATGGAACTTACTCAAGTTCATCCTTGAGAACTGAGAGCCTGAGGGGACTATGGACACCAAAGCCCACTCAGACACTTCCTGAGCCTTATGAGCAGAAACAGACAAAGCCATTAACGTTCGGGATACCAGCTCTGCCAGTAATCTAACCGTGAGACTCTGGGCAAGTTACTTCACCTTTCCACATCTGCACCTGTACACGGAGGGGGCTGATGATTTCCAAAGTCCCTTCAGTTCTGACATTCTACACTATCCCCCAAGGCATTGCGAGATCATTACTGTCCCTCCCTCCATCAACCTTACCCTGAGACTTGTGGAAAGGGTGGGAGAGAAGGGAGTGGAATGAGGAGTGGCTCTGTGTGACTACTGACAAGGTTCAGGCTTGCCAGGTTCCCAAGGTTTATGTTCTCTGCTCTAATCGAGAAATTCTGCTTCTACTATTCCTATATTTTTGCAATTCTGTCTTCCTTCTATGCCAAAATAAATAAGGAAGACATAAGAGAGCAGCACTCTTAAAAGAGGCCAGTCCTTTACGCTTTGTGAAATGTCAGCCACTGAAGTTGTGCCCTGTTCATACAACAGTGCTCCGAGAGGTGGGATGGAAAGAGAGAGCCATCTTTCACTCCTCCACGCAAGCACGGCCATTCCGTCTGGTGACCTGCTTCAGCTCTCCCTGCTTCTTCCCTAACTCCTTCAGACCATTCTCCAGAGCAGCCAGAATGGCTGTAAATCAGGTTATGTGGTTCCTCTGTCCGAAAAACCCCCTTGGTCCACAGTTCCCTGTCAGTAAAACCCAAACTCATACCCTGGTTCACAAGGTGCTGCAGGACACCCGCCTCCCTCCCTCCGCTGCCTCTCATGAGCTCTCCTACCACTCTTCCCTTCGCTTACTCTACTCCCATTTCCCAATGCGCTCCCACCTCGAAGCTTTTACACCTGCTATTCCTTCTGTCTGGAACGACTCCCTCACATAACCTTTATGGATTACTCCTTCACCTCTTTCAGGTATCTATTCCAATGTCATCTATCAAAGAGGCCTTCCATTCCTACCTACCCCTCTCTCACACACACATACCCCACACACGACCACTCCCGACCCCATTTATTACACTCTTCTTTATAACATTTATCACCATCTGACATACACATCATATATGTGTTTCTTGCTGTACTGTTTTATCCCTCCAATTCTGTCAGCTCATTTCTTGTTTTGTTTGCTGATGTGTCCCCAGTACCTAGACTAGCGCCTAACATATAGTAGTTGAATAACTGAACTACCAACTAGGGTTTCTATCGACCTCGCTGGCAGTTCATTTAGACTGGATGCCTACACCTAGTATGTAAGAAGGCACCTAATACTGCTGAAAGGATGAGGAGGAGCAAAAGAACCACAGCATATAAAATGCCTATCTGCTCACTTTAGTCATTTCCCCAACAGAAAATCAGATTCATTCATACCCTCTCTCCTTTCCTCCCTTCTCTATGTCACAAGACAACCACAGAAATGCATCTTCAAAACGATAATGAAATGGGGGTTTGGAATCAACCATGCCAGTCAGTTCTCTGTACCTGTAAGAGGCATGTGTCAGCGGGCAGCTTATTCAGCAATCACCATATGCCAGCTGCTGGCATTCTCTACTGAGTCTGGAAACCAGACACACACACACCCCAAACCCAGCAGGCAAAGGAACAGGTCAAGACAGAGTGCACCCAAACCCAAGAATGTGAACGGTAGATGAGGAGGAATCCTATTTACAAGTTAAAGCACGGGGGTTTGGTGGGTGTTTGTTTTTTTCAAAAACTTCTTTAGGCTTTTTTTTTTCTCTTTTACCCTTCTCAGTTTGCAGCAAATTCCAGACTAGTGCAAAAGAGCCAGATCAACAGCCCCTGGAGACCAAAGTACAAGTTTGTCCAAAAAACAGAAACAATGAGTGCTTATGGAGTGTTTCATCTTCAAAGGCCTCCCCAGACATCCACTAATGAGCCAGGCGTGGCACTCCCAGTAGGTTCCCTAGATGAGCCCTGCCCCTGACCCAGAGGGCTCACACCCCAGGGAGAGGACCTGGCTCAACCTTAGGGCTCAACCTCAGCCAAGTCACCCACTAGCCATCCTCCCTGCCCTTCCTGCCTCAACCCACCCAAGCAGACTCCTAAGGCTCCCTGAGGCAGGAGGGGATACCTGCCCAGCTAATAAGATCAGATCTCAGCAGGCTTGATAGTCAGATTTCTGGTTCTGCTACTATCACCTAAAAATTTAAATCTTCCCCAAGTATTTTAACTCTTTATCACTTTTCCTTTCCCTGCCCAGGGGGCCCTCCCTCAGCTCCAGATAGTTTGCTTTAAAGGTTTGGTAGCAGGCTTCGGCTCAGATTCAGAACTAAACTTATACCAAACATTTACCTTGCTGTCCTTCATAACAAGAACTACTGCTTATGAACGATTGCCAACAGTGAATGTGGCACTGGCTGAAAAAGATTTAAGCGGCCAGTCTCCTTTGCTCCAGAACACGCGTACACTGTCCTCTGCCTGGCTTCCTTGCTAAGCAGTCGTGCTGATGTCTTGGTCCAAAAGCTAATCCCAGCATCACACCTATTTCTATTTCCTGACGTGCCACATCAAGGTCCCTGAACGATCTGAACCACTCACGTGGCACCCACTACCCTTGAGGAGGGTATATCTCTTTTCTTGTTTTATAGGTCTGTACATTTACTGTCTCCCCAATTAAACAGAGTATTCCCCGTGGGCAAGGACTATGTCTTTTACTAATTTTGGATCTGTCCTCACTCTCAGTGTCAAGCTTACTGCAGTTCAATCGAGCATATTGGCTGATTAAAGCCTCACCTGAGGATGTCCTTTTATCATGTCTTCTGCCCAGTGGTACTTGGTTTCTCCTTGTAATGCACAGATAATTGTTCAGAGATCCTGTCAATTCTCAGCCATTTTGTACATATATCTGACCCTAGGACTAGTCTGTGAACACCATGAAAGGACTGCAAGACTAGAACTGGAAGCTTTTTCTCTTGTCATTTGATATGCAATGGGGTTAAAGGGCAACTGATACCACAGCCAGCAGCTACCACGTATCTTCCTGGGGAAGCCCAGGGTTTTGTTTCTGTTTTTGTTTTTGTTTTTAATTTTGTCAGAAGGCATGAGAAAGAGAAAGTGAGAAAGCACACCTCCCCACCACCCATAAGTAATGGTCATACCAAAATCCCTTTGCCATTTCCCCTTCCTACTGGGATTCGAGCCACATGAGCCCAACTGTGCTGTTTACCATGTGGGATCCAGCTTTCTTAACCACCATGTCGCTGGTTGGCCTGGGCCTTAAAGTTAATGGACACTGGGGCCAGCGGATGGCACAGTACTTATGTCACCAGGCTGCCACATGGCTGACCACAGTTTGAGTCCCCGGCCCAGTGGCTTGAAAGTCACGCTGGACACGTGTGCATGCATGCCTAAGATCCCAGGAGAATGGACAAGAATGGACTGCAGCGTAGTCATCCCCGAGGAGACGATTTCGCACTTCCCCTCTGTCTTGGTCTTTCTTTCTCTCCCTCTCCAGCAAGTACATGTCCCCTATGGCAAAAACCTCTTTAAAACAAAAAAACTAATGGACACTATGATTCCTCTTTAAGTACAGTTAGGAGCTTGGTGTAGATGACATTTCGAAAGGGACACTGGCTTTCTTATCATGCCCTCTTCTGTCCCTGCCTATTAACAGATTCCATACTATCCCACCACCAGGATGGTAGCAGCTTTCAGTTTTGTGCCATGACACAAGTCTCTAGCTATACGGCCAATTCTCACTTTCACCATAATGCATTCCTAGAAATGCACCAGAAAGCAAAAGACTAAAAACAGACAGACCCTGGATGGTTGCCCTCTTTACCGTACAACAGCCTGTAGTTACTCTCTTCCACCACAGATGGCACTACTGTGCTTACAGGGCAAAATGCCAGTGTTTCATGGGCCGTTGGAAACCAGGAATCAGCATGACTGAAGGTGAGCGGCTTGAAATGAAAAATGGAATGTAGCAATCTCTCTATTAACAAAGAGAGTAACTCAAAGATCCATTTTACAGTGAGAAACTTTGTTTTAGAAGTAAAAATAACAATGGGGGGGCCGGCAGGTGGCATGGTGGATTAAGGCACTAGATTCCCACATGGTCGACTGCAGTCCGAGTGCAGGACCTGGCAGCTTGCTTTCTTGCTTTCTCTCTCTCTGGTCAATTTTTTTTTTTTTTTGGAGAGGTTTTTGCTATAGGGCACATGTGCTCACCAGAAAGACAGAGAGACAGAAAGCGAGAAATCCCTCCCCCAGGGGGGATAGCCACACCACAATCCCTTCTCTTCTATTCTCCTCTCAGGATCTTGGGCACACATGCACATGTGCCTGGCATGAGTTTAAGTCACCAGGTTTGGAACTCAAACTGTGGTCAACTACATGTGAGTGATGTAGCCATTACACCATATGATGGTCGTGATCTGGTCAAATTTTTAAAAATAAGTACAAATGGAATTAAATAAATAATAAATCTTTTTTAAAAAAAATAACAATAGGAGCTCAAAAAATGTGCTCGGTACAATCTGTGCAGGACACTGTAGGAGTCTGATCAAGCTCACTGGCTGCCGGGAGCCTCGGCTGAGGGGGGACCCAC